ACCATTTACTGACTGAATTTTGTAACAGTACTTCACATTTTCTCAGTTTATCATCAGGTGAATATTCTCATTATATATGTAAATTAAATTGTGGCTTAGAGATAGTAAATAACTTGCCCAGGAATTTAGAGCCTTTGCAATTTTTGAAATAAATTAGTTTCTCTGGACAGAGAATGTTCAAATCCCACAGTAAGGTCACAATAATTAAAAGTACAGCTTTGCATATGTCAGTAAGTTGGTTTCGCAGAGCTCGTAACCCTTATAAGCCCCAATGAATATGGTGACACTTCTGCTTCAGGGAGATCTTTTATGTTATGAATATCCAAGTGTTACCTTGGGTTAAAATTCTAGAGTTTCTGGTAAATTCTTATGGCCTAGCTCTAGTGGCAGAAAGATCTAAGTCTCCATTCAGGCAAGTGGCGCAATAACAGAGAAAGCAAGTTCCAGGATTCCTTTGAAGGATGCTGTTGGCAACAGAGCATCCCCCTCCCCCTCATTGTGGCTTTGTACCAATGAAGGTGCTTTGCTGTTGCCTGTCTCTCATGCTGAGATTGGACAAAAAGAAGAAAACTCTGTGCTTGAGGTAATCATCCCTTGCGGCTTGCAGTTTGTGAGTGATCGATAACAGTAGGCTTTAGTATTGCGGTAAACATCCTTTTTGTGAAAGCAGTTTGCAGCCGAGTACAAATACTAATAAATACCCTGAGAATCAGCATGATATAAAAAAAGATTTTTTTAGAACACAGATTTAAAGTGAAGTCTTTTTATTTCATTTATTTCATCTTTCTGTTTTCTGCGAATGGTCTTTTCAGCTTTTCTTCTGTGTATATTATGGTGATTATTCTTTTGGAATTCTAATACAATGTATCCCCCAGTTAAGATCTGTTGTGCTACTTGTAAAGTCTAAGGATCACAAATCATTGAATTCTATATTTAAAATGTCTGCATAGCAAACACAAATGGTTGATATTTGAAAATGCTGAAATGTCAATAACTATTTTGTATTTCGTAGTTATATGTTCTATATTCTTTTATGACTTTTTTTGGTTAGAGTAGCTCTTTTCAGTGTTTGAATAATTTCTATTGATTAAAGCAATAATTTTCCAACTCTTTATATCTGCGATAATTTTTCTGGCAGAACAAAATTTGTCTTAATTATAACAAATTTATTTTGTGATTTAGAGCCCCAAAACTGAAAAAAGAGAACTGAAGGTAAAGTGATGAATACTACTCCCTCTTATCAGAGAGCAATTTTGTCCTGAATAATGATACAAAATAAAGTTGGTGAGCTCTTCCTGAAACTTTTCAATAACTTCAACATTAGGAGTAAGTCAATTATCATAACAGAGCTGACAGTCAGGGTTAATTAACCCCAAAACAGGCTAGTGAAATTTTTGTGGACAGCAAATTTTCAAAGATGAAATTGTTTCCACATTTCTGTCCCTCATATAAAATAGGAAAGAAGCAGAAGTTTTACTCATGGAAATAGGAAAAATTATCCAACTACCCTCCTATTAGCTTATGCTGTTTAAATAAAATACAGCGAACATCTCAGAGAGACGTCTATAAAATTTGGAAATAAACATAAAACAAATGAGTTTAATAAAAAGAAAATCCTGGGAAAAATTATATGGCTATGAGTCTCTCCTATTGTAAAATTTTCAGCTTGATTAATTCTACAAATTCCACCCACTAAGCATATTTACCTCAAACAAAGAAACCACTGGTTTTCTTAGTGTGTGTGTGAGCATGTGTGTGCGTATGTGTAAACAAATGTTTACCATATTAGTATCACCTAGATTATATAATAAAATTCTCATATAGATGATACCTGAGGATTTTTTATTAACTTTTTATATACCTCTTATAATTGTAGATTATAAAAAATATGTATATTATATAATATTATCAATTGAAAACTCAATTTAGGGCTTTAAAATTTGTTTATATATTTTACAGTTGTTACCATAAAGCATTTGTTCAGTCTATACCACAATTTACTCAGAGAAATGACTTCCTGGAGAGACATGAAGCCACTTAATCAACCGTTATCCGTTAGTTGGAGATTCTTAGCACACACAAATCTCCCTAGCTACATACATAGCTAACAAATAACATTAATAGATGATATGGTAACTCTTTACAGACACATACTTACATCTTAATTTTCCAGAATTATGTATATTAATAATCTGGTCACAAATACCTAGTTCCAATGTGACTGACCAACTTAAGTTTTATTTAATTCTTGTAACCTAAGCATTTTAGGAATTAAATGCTAAATAACAATTGCTGGATTATATGGCAGAATATAAGGTATTTAAGATATAGTAGAATATAAGATATATAAGGTAAGGTATGTCTTTCACGTTATAGATTTTTATAAAATTTTATCATGTTTTATTTACCTGCATGCAAGAACCTAAAAAGAAGTTATTCCCATATTCACCAACAATATAGCAGTTTTGAACTTTTAACACTAAACATAAAAATTGAGCTTTACTTCTTTAAACATATGCCTAATGTAACATAATGTGAAATATGTATATATACACACTAGAGTGTACGCACACACATACACACACTTTCTCTTTTAGAAATATGATAGACACTATGCATAATGGTAACATTAATGATCACCCAGATGGGAAAACCACACCTATTTTACATTATTCATAATAAATTTCATTTATTGAGCACATATTCTAATGCAGGCACAATGTTAGAACTTTAAAAATTTTCTACTAAACCTTTCACACTCTGAGAAATAGATATTGCTATTTCTATTTGAATAAGAGTTCTATAAGGTTACATAATATTTAACTATCAGAGATGGGGTTCAGTTCAGGCTTTTTGACTCCAAATCTTATCCTGTAATTCATCCTTTCTTTGCATAATACTCTTAACTATTACAAGCTTAGAAAGAATGATCTATTTTTTAAAATGTCAATATTTTTGCCAGAAATTATGCTTATATGTAAGCATATTATTTTCCAAAGAATTTTAATTTCAGGAATCCTATTGTATCATACATTTTCAGCCAAACAAATAAATATATATAGTGTTTTGCATCATGAAATTGCAAAATTTCACTTTTTTACTATCCCGATTGCCATTTATTTCAGTCCAAGACGTTTTCTGATTCATCTATTTTTCATATATTTAAAAAAAAGTTTTACCAAGTCCAATAAAAAATATTTACTAAATTACAGAAATTGAAGTGATTCTCTAAAATGCAAACATAAATATCAGAAAATATATACTTGGATAAGTGATAGTAAAGTAGCACTCAAGCATTTAAGCACACATTGAAGACATTGCTGATTGATCAGAACAATCTTTCACACCAAGCCTAAGCATGACTCAAGATTCTTACTCAACATAATGCTTAAGGCAGTTTAAAAAAAAATTTTTTAACGCTAAGATTCATATATTTCTCCATTCACTTATCTTGACTTTTGTCAGGCACTGACCTAGGATCTGATATAGAACAATAGAACAAAGTCTTTACTCGTATGTAGCTTTGATTAAAGTGGAGGAAGAACAAATTAAGTAGTGAACATTTCGTGTAATAAATTATGAACTTACAAAAGGAGGCTAAAGAGAATAGAGAAGCCTAAGGTTGGACCAGAAACTTGAAATAAATAAGGAGCAAGCCCCCAAAATATATAAAGAGCTTTCTAGTACAATGCAGAGTGATTGCAACAGCCTGAATTAAGTGCATGATTGTTGTGATCAAGAAACAATGAGTCGTGGGGAGTCAATGGAGTGAGATGACAGGGATGACCATGGCTGTTGTACAGGGAATTAACTGTAGAGAGACAAAGATGAAATCAGGTTGAGCTGTTTGGTGATGGTTATAATAATTCAGGCAAATAACATAGTGGCTTAAGCCATGTAATGAAGGAGGTGGTGAGTAATTAATGTTTGGTTAGGGATTTATTTTCTATGGGAGTAGGCAGAAAAAAATTAGTTTTGGACCCTTTTAAGATTGATATGTATTTTAGATACTCATGTAGAGAGATGGAAAGGGCATTTGTGTATAGGAGTTAAGGTACAATGGAGAAATGTGAACAAAAAATATAAATTTAGAAATTGCATTAAATAATTTAAATTTGAAGCCTTGGTTTAAATGAAGTTACGTAGGGAGTGAATATAGATGGTGAAGAGATTTTCAAGGGAGAGATTAAGTGTTTAGGACTTTAAAATTGGAGAAGGAACCAATGAAGGGGACCATGAGGTAGCAGTTAAGTAAGAAGAGAGTGAAGAGAAAGAAATATCCTGGAAGCCCAATGAGGTACGTTTCCAAGAGGCGAGAAGACACTAATTCTGTCCATTGCTGCTTAGAACTTAAGAAAATGAAAACTGACCAACAGGTGTTGCAATGAGAAAGTCATAGGTAGTTTTAATAAAAACTGATTTGGTGAATTTGGTGATTTGGTGAATTAATGATGATAACTATTTATTGGGTTGGGTGAAGAGCATGAGAGGAGAAGAAATAGAAACGGAGCAGACAAATACGAGAAATGTTTTCCATTATGGTAAACAAAGGAGTTAGCTGCAATGGATTGTGAGTTTTAAGGTTTATGTGATCCTTGATTTAATAATAGCTTAAAAGTCCATCATGAATTCGTCTTCAATATTGGATGTATTTATAAGCATTATTTCTAGTGCTTAGTACTAAATATTTTAATTTATAATCCTATATTTATCTTTACCATTGTTTTAATAAAATTAGCTTTAGTGCACCTTAATGACTTTTGACAGAGTCACAGTTGGGCACGTAGAGATAATACAGTTTGGATTCTTTTCCCATCCTTTCTTTAACTGATACATTGATCATGCATTTATCATATACATTGACCCATTTGAAAGCAACAGATTTCATATTATTCACTAGGAATTTGGTACCAAGTCTGTAGCCATGAAATTCTTCTATATGTTTCCCCTTTCAGTAAAATAATTCAATAATTTTATAAAAGGTATTTTTTTCCTTACAGGAAAGACAGGCAACAGTGAAAAAGGAAAAAAGTGCTTCCCAGCAGCCCAACAAAGTGACTGACAAGAACAAAATGCAAAGAGCCAACTCTGTTACTGTGGAAGGACAAGGCCTGCAGGTACGGTTTTTAAAATCCAAATTTTAGTAATTCTTCTATTTGTCACTTCTGTGCTCTTAAAGAGGCAGTTGTCAAGATATCGACCTATTTATTTAATGTGCAGATTAGCTCAATAGATGACTTCAGAAAAATCTTTATTAATTTATCAAGTGTCACTTTTATGGTTGATTAACAGGGTGATATTCTGATTAGTTTAATCGTTTATGACGTTAATGTCCATTTCAACTCAGATTGGTAAGAGATTTCTCAATCTGGTTTTTGCAAATTATTACTAAATACACACATTTATTATATATGTATATATTATTTGTTTACAAGTATATTTTGTCCAAATATATTATTATATATATTTGGAAGAGTCATTTTGGTGGCAAAACATGTCTTTAGGAAAGAATAAAATGTACTCTACCTGCGTGGATACTTTTATTTCTAATTATATAATAAAAATAATGAACTGAATACATTTTACTTATGTCTTTCAAAATTTAAGTCAAAATTAAAATCACCATATATATTTCTAGTTTAAGTGAAAATAGGCAGCTCAAAATCATGTTTGTAGTGCTTTAAAATCCTCTGAATTACCCCTAAGGTTTCTGACATTAAGAACAAATTATATTTCCTTCTGCGTTTTAAAATCTCTTACAGATTAAATGTGTTTTATTTATTTAACTCTGTTTCTCACTCCAACATAAAAACTATCAATGAAGGCATACTTTATGAGACTGTGAAGTTCATTTTCTTATTTTCCTATCTATGTGTTTCTCTCTTCCAGTTTTCAGTTTCTTTTCTTAAAAGTATGCTTCAAGTTTCATGTTCTCCAGGAAAACTTACGATTTACCACACGAAGATATATAATGTCACACACTTTCATTCAATAACATGATTTTGTGTCTTCCTTTATCATCAATTATTTTTTCTGTGAATTATGTCTTTACATTCTTTAATTTGAGAACACAGTTCAGAGCACACAGTAGCCTAAATGCTAGCTTCTTCATTGTTTTGAATATCTCATTGAAAATTTAATAACAGCTTAAATATTAAAACCAGGTTACTGCTTTGTTTTGATCTAAAGAATACATTATGAATAGAAAATCTATTATGAATTACTTAAATATAAAAAGAGGGAATTATGAATGATAAAATTATTACATTGCATAGAGAATATAAAAGTTAATTATCAAAAGAGGAAATCAGGATCTTCACTTTTTTGGGAATCATATTTCCATGCTTAGCAATCTCATTTGAAGTCCCAAATAGAAAATGTAATCACATTTTTGATAGCAAAAAATTTAATTAAGTGATCCTATGACATTTTTAGTGAAAAAAAAATCATTTGTAAATTTAATATGTCAATTGAAAATATTGATTAGTTTAAATCTTTAGTCACTGGGTTTCTAAAATGAAAATAATGAAAGAGAAACCTAATTTTAAAGTTCAAGTACATTTCACAATTGGCTAGGGCTCTTCTCAACATGGAAGGAAAACATGCATCATTTGTTAAACAATATATGTTAAGCACTATGGTAATATTTTATGCATATTAAATGGATTACCTCTAAAAAAAAAGATAATTATTCTTAATTTTCTCAATAAATGTATGATAGATATCATTCTTATTAATCAGTATTTTCACAATAAACATATTGGTGTTTGGAAGTAAATTATTTTCAGGGCCTCACAGTCATTGGTAAAGCCAAGGTTTGGATGAGGATCATCTGACTCAGAGTTTATGTGTTTTACTTCTAAGATACCCATCTCGCTGGTTAACAAATTTTAACAGGTATATAAATGTGAAATTTCTGACCACCTTGTTCTTCCTCATATTTTTATATTGTTGCAGATTTTGAAATAAAAATCACACATGCACAGAATGGAGTAAATATGATACACATAGGTATTCAAAGAATTTTGGATAAAATACCAAGAAAAGGTATAAGACTAAATTCTAGGATAGCTATTTCATGCAAAATGGAAATATAAGTAATTTTTTTGTTGTGGTAATCAATTTTAGAATAATAAAAGTGTTCTTTATTAGAAAAGGCAAAACAATCTACCAGAAAATTGATTTTTGTGTTTTAAAAAATATATATCATAAAAAAGCATTGAGATGCAGCCCAGTTTGCATATAACTCAGTGACAGAAGAGATCTACACTGCTTAAAGAAGACTATTAATCATAGTTAAGCACATTCATCTTACTTCTTTCCAGCTAACCAGCATAATGATCAGGATTATTATTTCTAATTAGAGGAAGTAATAGATCATGTATAACCTTAGGATGAGTCTCATTAATTAACCCGAGTCCTAAGGGACTTCAAATAGAGGTGGTTAAGCACTCTGTCTTTGTCATTGCTCGCACCGTAGGTTTACACTTAATACATATGATCAGATGTAATTGAAACTATAATTTCTTAACATGCAGGAGATGTAAAAATATGGATGAATATTCACATGTTAACGAATAAGAAGAAAAACAAAGCAATCACTTAAACTGTGTTAAACTAAAGTTATTTTGTCCCTAATTATTCTTTGAGAAAACTTTGTAAATAAAAGGGTTACTTGATAACCAAAAATTCTACTTTGTAATATTTTTAACAGAAGAAAAAAACTATTATACTTTTATACTGAAATAACTAAAACTAAACCAGTGTTATCTCTACCACAACTACTTCTCCCTATACCTTTGTCTTTCTTATTTGCAGTATCTCATAATCACCAAAACTAAACTACATCATATATGCACTATATACATCTATATAGTATGTGTATAAAATTAATTCCCTTTGATTGATGGTGTATGTGTGTGTGTGTGTGTGTCTTTTGCATACTTTGAAATCCTTAAGTCTGTTCATAATTTCATAGTCAACCATTCATTGTGATTTTAATTATCTAAGTCCAAAATTTTAAATCTATACTTTGAGTATTACAACAACCTTTAAATTAAGTCCCTGTCTCTATACAAATAATGGGCTAGATTATAAATGATGAGGAAAAAATAGAACTGAGTAAGACATGAAATATCATGGCAGAGAGTTGGGGTTGCCTATAATTATAGGTAAGATGTCTAGATTAGAAGTGAGGAGTCAGGGACATCTCAAAGATGTGGGGCCCATGCAGCTAAAATGATGGAGTTGTCACTGACTGAGATGGAGAAGGGTAGAGATGGATAAGGTTTGGAGAGAAATTTCTTATTCTGTTAAACATCCAAATAGAGATGTCAAGTAGCAAGACATATGTGAATCTAGAATTTAGGAGAGAGGATGGATAAGATTTTGGAAGTGAAAGGCATATTGATGAAACTTAAAACTGTCATATAAAATGAGATCACTAAGGAAGAAAGTATATAGAGAGAAGGATAGTTGAACTGAGATCCCAAATTATTCTGACTCTAAAATCATATGCTTTAATATTTACTGTATGAAATTGTCCTTTTCTGTAAGTAAATGAATTTCAGAATTATTGTATGAATGTAAAAAATAAAAATGTTGCCATGTTAAAGACCATATTAGATGCAGTTCAAGAGAATTAGTGACCTTGTGTATAAAATTGAAACATTAGTTCTATCTTGATTCACAAATTCCATTCAAGTTTTACCAATTGTCTCAATAATATCTTTCATAACAAAAGAAGCTAGTCCAGAATCATAACATCCTGATTTTGACAGTTGTGTTGTATTTATATAGGAGAATGTGTTTTTTGTGTAGGCAATCTTGAAGTAAATAGAAGGAATGAAATATAATTTTAGCAACTTTGAAATGATTTAGTAAAAAAAGTTTGTACAGTGTTTGCAGATTTTTCTGTAAATTTGAAATTATTTTAAAGTATAAAAATAAAAATATCACTTTTAGTTAAAAGATTTTTATAAGATACTTTCATAATCTACTTAAATTCCTTTAAGTATATATGATTTGCGTTATAATACAAATTAGCTCCCTTAGACTAAATTTTGACTTCTATTAATTTCTTACCCGCATTAGGCCTCTCTTAAAAACAGATCTGGAATCAAATAGATTGAATTAACAAATTGAAATATTACATCAAATAATTCCTATATCTTTTTCTTATCTCAAACTATTTAAGTTATAAAAGAATTGACTGATTATGATTATGCCCATATTCAATAATAAGAATAACATAATATGAAATGAAATATAGAAACTATTTATGGATTTTGATATCGTTTCTGTTCTTTACTCAGGGACTTCATTAACAAATTTAATGAAGAATAAAGTTTCTATGCCAGGTTTCATTTGTATCTAAATCTTTTTCTTTATGCATCTTGTCTTTCACATCAGTTATTATTAGTTTCTTCAGAGTTTAACAGGGAAAAAACAAAAACAAGGAACAAATAAAACATAGCCGTAGTTCAGACAAGAGAGCCATAATTGTGTCTCTCATGTATACGAAGTCCAGAAGTAGCGCTAATAAGACAGCTCCATGTTTTCCTTAGGAATGGTACTATCTTTCCCATCCTCTATCTGTAGCAACTTCAAGGTCACCTTATGATCAAAGATTGATGCTGTCATGGTGTCAAATTCCATGCTGGCATCCAGAGGAGAATGACTAGATGCTCTCATTCTTCTATTTCAAGGAGCATATCTTGAGTTTCTGTAGGACACTTTTGTATTAATCAGCTTGGACTGCTATAATAAATTACCGGAGACTGGGTGGCTAAAATAGACATTTATTTCTAACAGTTCTAGAGGCTGGAAATTTCAAGATCAAGGTGTTGACAAGGTAGGTTACATCCTGAGATCTCTTCTCTTGGTCTGTAGGTGGCAACCATCTCTCTGTGTATTCACATGACCTTGTTTTCGTGTGTGCACAGAGAGAGAGAGGAAGGTAGGGAGGGAGAGAGGGGGAGGAAAAGTTTGAGAAAGAGATAGATCTTGTTCTTATAAGGGTATTAATGCGATCATGAGGCTCCCACTCTCATGACCTCATTTAACTTTACAAGGGGAGTATGGTTGTAGGGCTTCAACATGTGAATTTGGGGGGACACAATTCAGTTCATAGCAACTTCCAATGTATATCTCATCAGGGGAAAAAAAACATTTTTTTTCTACTGAATATATTTATTTGCATTCTTACATGACAAGAAACCAAATATTACAACTTTTTAAAAGCTCTTTTTTTTCCAAGCAGTAGCAACAGCTTCCAAGACACAACTGAGATTGTGGGGTGCAATCTTACAAAGCAACCCCTTGGCCAGGGTTTTTTTCACTAAGGATGGCAAGGAGTATGAAAATTAAGTGACAATAGTAGATGCTCCGTCACTAAGATACTGTGTCTTGTTTCAGGACTGTTAGTGAACACAGTGGTTGTTTATTTTTAACTTTTCAGACATAAAAATGGCTATGCGGCACTGTAGGTCTTTGGTTTTCAAATGTAAGAACTCAGCCTTTGGTCTCCTGGAAACTAAATTTACTCTGCTGGATTGTGCTTCTTTTTATAATAGCAAAGTTGAGCAGAATTTTAAAATTTTTTTCAGCGAGCATTGAAAAAGATGCCAGAATTGCCTTGAACCTTGACATTTCTGGTATAGCACTATTAAATGATCCCTTAACACAAGTCTTTGTGGTGCTAACGTTTAATCAAGTATCACCTGTTAAGTGTAGATTACATTAGGTCAGGTTTTTTATCTGTTAACATCATTGTCAAATGAGCACTATTCCACAGTGTCTTGTAAAAACTTACAAATAAATATCTAAAGTTTCTAATGTTTTATTTTTATATAGCCTTATTTTATAAGCCCAGTTTCTAATTAGGGATATGTGAGGGAAAGATTTTAAAATTAATTTTATTATTCCTATATTTCCATTTGGTTTTTTGACTTTTGTCTTGTAGAGTATCATCATTCTTCTAAATTCTTCCTTTATCTAAATTATCTTCTATTTTTCTAATCTTTTTGACCTATTTACCCAGTTACTCACCCCTAAAATTGAGATCAAAGTTTTTGTACTTTGAGATCCTCTACAGACTGTTCTAGTGAGACATTTGTTTGTGATAATGTGCTTAGAACATAACTGTTATGTTTCATGCTACTGACCCTTATTTGATAAATAATGATACTTAAATGTTTCAATAAATAAATATTTCTGAAAAGCATTCCAAAACATGTTTACAAATGAATTCCAAATATTGTACCCAGTGTAAATTTATTATAATCTCATATAATGGTAAACTAGATGTTGTGTTTGGGAAGATCATCCTAATGAGTATTTGGGTTCAGATTTAGTGATTTGCTCAAAAACCTTTATTTACTTTGGTATTCTCACCTGTATTTAAAAATAAAAAGTAAGACTTCAAAGTAAGTGAGAAAATGAACTAAAATCTACACCTGTTGGCATTTCTTTTTGTGTGTGTGGAAACTTTACGAGTTATATTTGATTTTATAATAGAATGAGAAATAAAGGTAATTGAAAACTAATCTTCAGATAAAGGTGTGTTTCGTTTTTCTTCATTTTAACTTTTAATAGGGAAGAAGGGCACATGTAGCAAGCAGCACAATGACTTAACCTAGTAGGTACTTCTATACGTGAATTGGTTGAGCACATTTGGTGCAGGGAGAACTGGAAAGTGAACTGCAGATCCAGGTCATTCATCTTGAGACAAATCAGGAAGAAAGAACCTATGTCCTTTTTTCAAAGGAAAGTAAAATAGAGGCAGATAGGATAAATTGTAAATGAGAACGAGTTGGATAAGTGTAGAAAAATGAAGAATATCTTGCACAACCTTCTCATATAGCTAATGTAAAAGATGTTAATATTTTCCCCATGCCTGTAGTCATTTTTAAAAATATCAGTTCACTTAAGAATTGGAGGGAAATGTGTTGGTAGAATATTTGATCTTACATTGTTAAAACAAATAGGAAGGACATCATATGGTAACATGGTTGTTTTTATTTGTCTTATTAAATATTTAGTATTTCTTTCTAGGAGAGAATAACACAGCAATGAAGAACATTTCGAATTTATTTTGAAAAAGTAAATTGATTTAAAATTTTTCAACTTAATTTTTAGAGCTTCATTATTTGCATGTATTTGTTATTAAAGTATTGTTTTGTCAAACTATATTTAGATGAAAATTTTATATTGAATAGGAATACTTTTATAAAGAAGTTACCTCAACGTTGAAGTTATGCAAAATATAAGAGTTCTCCTTTATCAACCTATCACAAATAACTTTGCCCCTCACTAATAAAGTGCTATCACTTTACCTGTTTTATTTCTTGTCCTGGAATGTTTCACTACTAAATGTTTGTCTGTATATTTGTTTACTGCATGTTTCTTCACTGGAATATAAGCTCGCATAGGACAGGCACTTTTTCTCGTTCAACTGAGAAATGGGTAGTGATGGAAGCAGTGCATGGTGTATAGTAAGGACACACTCTTTAATGGACTCCTTTTTAAGAAATAGACTTGTTTAACTGGTCCTCTACTCTCTAAGCAGAAAAAGAAAGCAATGGGGAAACATCATATAGAAAGGGACTCTTAGGCTGAAATGGGCCTCAAGCTACCTATTTACAAGTGGTTGGGAAGACAGATTCCACACATGCCACAAAGCTCTAAAGTCTGGGTCCTCTATAAAAGTAGGGCTCTCTGTAATTTGATTGTTTTCTTTTTTTCTAATATTTCCCCTCTATATTCTGTTTTATTCTGGCTGGTTTATTCACTGTACCGTAAATTGTACCTTTTGTTTTTATCTCATGGCTGTTCAAACTTATTCCTTCCTCATAGCTGCCTTCCTCTCTGCCCTGTATTGAGCTGGATCTTACCTCTTTGACCCCCCCCCCACCAGCACACACACACACACACTTTCAGAATAAAAGAGCCATATTTTTGAATTTGCCAATTGGCATTTCATGACCTAGAAATAAAAGAGGACTTTTTCATATATAATGTGAATAATTTGTCTAAATGTCCAACTTTTCTTCTAGATCACTCCTGTTCCTGGTACTCATCCGCTTTTAGTTTTTGTAAACCCCAAAAGTGGTGGGAAGCAAGGAGACCGGTATGTTTTAAGTCATGTTTATTTTCTATGTCATAAATATGTAAAAAGATTAACTAAAACTATGGTATAAACATTTGAAAATATTTCTTGTGGTTTACAAATTTTTAATATGAAATAAATAATGCTAATGTCTATATGTTATATCTTGATATAATCTCTCCTTGTTTTTATAGTTGAAATTTTAATATAAAAATTACCTTTTGTAAATATTCTTATTATCATATCTCAGGTATCTGAATTTTCTCCACCCTACTTATCACTCCTAAACCTATCAAAGAGTTTTACGTACAACATTGCTCCATAAATACTATTGAATGAAAATTGGTTCTCTAACCGTCTAGTTTCATTATTTTGTATGTAGCTTTTCAATTTTCCCAGCACCATCTATCGAAAAGGCTTTTTTTTCTTCATTGTATGTTTTTGGCTCCTTGTGGAAAATTATTTGCCCATGTATATGTGGGTTTATTTCTGGGTTCTCAATTTTGTTCCACTGATCTGTTAGAATGGCTATTATCAACAAGACAAGTAATAACAAGTGTTGGAGAAATTGTGGAGAAGAAGGAAGCCTTGTACACTGCTGGTGAGAATGTAAATTGGTATAGCCACTGTGGAAAACAGTATGGAGGTTCCTCAAAAATTTAAGAATAGAATTACCATATGACCCAGCAATTCTTCTAGATATCTACATGAAAAATTTGCAATCATTTAGAGAACCAATTTTCTTAACCCAGTAATGAGAAACAGAATTTATATTCAGCTTCTAGACAAAATATATTATAATGATTTTCTGCATGCATATTTTGGAGAACATGATGCTGTTTTTCTTGAAGAAGCACAATTAACTTAATCTGAATAATAGCTTCATTCTCAAGTATCTCAATATTCTGGCTGATAACACAAAATTTTGTTTTTCTAATGAGTTAATGATTTAGTCATATTTAATAAAAATCTGAAAATTACCAAATTGAGGAGTAAATCATATATCCCTCTAAAGAGGATAGTGATAATAATGTGACTGTATCTGCCTTAATAATTTCTAGAAGTCTTTACTAATCCCAGCTAATAAATGAGCAATCAGATAAAAGCACTAACCCAAACACTGTGGTAATAAAACAGAAATTACCTTTGTAGTTTACCAAATAGTGAAGTTTAAATGTTTCCATGAATAAAATTTTGTAATTTCTTACCATTTAACTTTCCAGTTGTATTTCAATGAAATTAAGAATGTTCTTCATTTTCTAATCAACAAAATATTATTTCTGTTTAAAATGTTTTTATCAACATATAGTTATATTTTATTTAACTCTGCTAAACATGATAGAAATTATTTTAAGTAAATAGTTGCTTAATAATTAAAATATTTATAATGCTTTATTAAAGAAAATAGTTGCCTCACTTATAGAGATATAAAATAGTAATTAAAAGTAATACTAAATTATTTTCTTTAGTACTAACAGTCTGTCTGCTGTATGGATATCTTGAAGAAAAAAACTAAACTCTTCTCAAAGAATTAGATAAGACTTAAATTCATGTTTGGAATTAGACACAAATTAAGTCTCAAGAGAAAAAAATAAAAAATATATTATGAAGGAGAAATCATTTCCCTCACATTAAGATAACATTAACCGTGTAGAATACCCTTCTTAAATGTCTCTCTATCCCTTTTCTCACACATAAAAATAATTTTCTTTAAATTAAAAAAAATCATATAGATACACTAAAGTCATAATATAATTAAACTTAATGGGATGGGCGGATACTTGAGTGCTCCTATATGCACACTCACTTATTGCTTGTCCTTTATGCACTAACAGGGACCATTTAAAGTAAAAGAAAATGTAAATATGTTTTCAAAAAGATCTATTATGAACAAGAATGTAAATTTTTCTGAATGCATAAGAGGAGTCTTTTACAAACAATGAGATTCCATTCAGGATTTTTCTTTCAAAATACTTTGGCTTTTTTGACTTTGATATGTTAGATAAGTAGAAAAGGTCACAGAATCACATATTCATACAACGTTTCCCATATCAATCAACAAGTATGAAAGTGGTCACAAATCATCATTCAGGCAGCAATGCCTGAGCAGAATGCAAACTCTGCAAGGTACTGAGGATGAAAGACATACAACACAGTCCTGCAGGGAAGCAGGCACACAAGTAGATATTTTGCAATACCACATGGTAAAAGCTAAGCTGGATATGTTTTAAATAAAGGTATTAGGAAAGTTCAGAGGAAAAAATGACTGTTTCTTAAGCCGGAGGTCTTTGAAAAGAGGTAGCTTTGAATTGGTTCTGATATAAGTCAATGTTAGGCAGGTGAAAGAAGAAAGACAGATTTGTGAAAGAGCTTGGTGTTTTGGGGGGAGCCAGGAGATATTCACTAAGATTAAAATTTAAGGGAGGAAGGGTAAAAATGAGACCTAAACTATTCTAAACATAATGAAATATTTTATATTATAAATAACTTGACACAGGAACTTTTCATCATGGAAACAGCATGACTGTACTTAAATAGCGGTATAGAAGAGGGCTGGATAGGCAAGATTTTTATATAACTGGCGAGAGAACTCGAAAGCCTTAATTAAGGCAAGGGGATGGCGTACATAGTCAGGTTTGATAGACATTACTCAGATGGAAGGTGCAGGATTGTCCATAATCAGGTTTAGGTGCTGGGAAAAAGGAGGTGCTGAGAATGACACTAAGATCTTTCTTGAGACACTAGATGATATGAATTATCAAGATCTAGAATGTGAGGGTTATTCTGGATTTGAAGTGGGGGGATATAAGCAGATATTGCATTGTGCATTTGGAGAGTTTCTATCAGTAGACCTGGTAGGAATGTGTTTATAAAATATACAGTAACATTTTTACATGTATGTGAAAATAATTTTAAAAATCTAAATACATTTCTTCACTTTTATTATTTTGTCTAAGACTTCCAATGATGTGAGATATATGTGTACTTAGAAACACTTCATTGTATTTATTATACAAAGATTGATTTCTTTCAGAAAAAAATAAATTATTTAACATGTACTATTGAAACAGTTCAGCAATTTTATGAGCTGACTGATCAAGATGATTGTTTATGTGAAATAAATAGGCAGATGAGGTCACATTATTTGCTTATATACATACAAAGTGCATAATCTAAATTTCTATGTGGGAGAGATAGTTTTCATCTCTATTAGGCTGGCCCCATAACCTATAAATTTCACAAGGATTTATTAAGAGAAGATATTTAAGTAATTTTATACTAATATTAAAATATTTATTTGAAATCTAATTAGCTAAATAACATAAAAGCAGGATAATGTTCTAAATACATATGCATATTTAGAATGCAAGTATCATTATTTCTAATTTATAAGTTTATCACCTTTATAATTACTGCTAAGCCTCTTTTTAAAAGAAACTTTAGTTCCTATTGAAATTTTATACTTCTAATATTGATACAAATTTCATAAACATATGTAATTACAACTATATATATGGTTACAACATTAAAGAGTGCTATTTATTTTAAAATTTGGAGGTATCACCAGATTTCTTATTTTTTTTCTTCGATATTTTCATCTTTATAGAATTTACAGAAAATTCCAATATCTACTAAATCCTCGTCAGGTTTACAGTCTTGCTGGAAATGGACCAATGCCAGGGTAAGTCCAAGGATAACATCATTACCATTAACTCATTTAATACTACTTAATTAAATAAGCAGCCTGACATGCCTGAAAATAATGTTATTTGAATACAGCAACCATATCAATATACGAAAAAGTGTTGAAAATAAACTACACAAGAGAAATCAATGCAAGTGCTGTTTTTCACAAAAGCCTGTTTCGAGCAGTTTTTTCTCCCTTCTAAATAGTGTGAAGTAACATTAATTCTAAAGCTAATAATATTCACACACATAAATATATGTACATGCACTAGCTGGGTGCTTAAACTTCAAAACTATCTGTTTGAACAACTATTCTCCTTTATTCGTAAATATAGAATACAAATCTACAGAGTAAAGAAAAAACTAATTAAAAAGAATCACAATCATCATATGATTTTATAATTACTACTTACCAAATCTAATAGCTATCACTCTATACTGTATTGTTGATAGGTAATATGCAGTAAAATAAAATAATTTTTTAACAGAAACCATATACTTTTGATGTCATAAGTAGTCACTGAAATAAATTGTCATTAATTTGGCCTAGTTAACTAATTAATGTCATCTTCTTCCACTGACCTGTTTTGTCTCTTTCAACATGAGAATAAACGTTAGACCAGATGAGTGAACAAATGATCTATAAGCCTTACAAAAGGTTCATGTTTTTAAAAAAAGCCAGTTTGATTAAATAAGTCCCTTAGGTTATTCTCAGAAACTAGAAACCAAATATTGAAATTGTCTGTACTCTTAAATGCTCAGAATAAAATTTCTATCAATGTGTCTATGTTAAATAAATATAAATACAAGACAATTATTAACATAGGCTCCCACAATTATATTCATCTCTTTCTTCCACTCCCTGCTGCCTGCTGTCCAAAGCCAGTTTTCAAATGCTGAGCAGTGATCTGAGGAACCTCCTTGCTGTAAGAGGCAGGCTCACCAGAGGAATTTAGTTCAGAACAATACTTTTGTCAAGCTCCAAACTCCAGAATCTAAAGGATCATGAACAGATTACTGGCTATGTGAGCCACACGGGAAGCCACTATCTAGATAAAGCCAAATGAAAGTAAAGTCTTGATATTAAAACAGAAGGTCAGACAGGATAGCTCTTTTTCTTATTCTTTCATAGCCTGAACTTCAAAGAAGTAACTCTTATTCTGCAGGATTAAGGAACTATGCATTCAAAAATTTAGCTATTCCAAGACCCCTTAGCTCCACCCAGGCCTAGTAAAACCTAGGATTTGTTTGTGTTTCATCATTGAATGCAATGCTTGCTGACTCTGCTAATTACAAGCCTTATAACAATCTCTCAGTGCCTTCTTGATCTTTGCTGTAAAATGAGAAAAATATTAGCTGCCTTATACAATAGTTCTGAAGTAAAATGAGTTGATGCCTATGAAGCATATAAAAATTTGCTTATCATATAATATGTCCTGTTAATGCTATCAATATTATCATTAACAATTATTATCAATATTGTTAATAGTAATATTAATTAATAATTACAAATAACATGACTACTTTGTGGCTCTGTGAAATATACTGCAATAACATTGATTTTAGCCTTGTTTTCTCATTTCATTTTTTCTCTACTCTAAATATATACTGCATGATTCCTTTCACTCTTTCAGTTTTTGGCATCTTTTTTTCCTCTATTTTAATATATTGAAAAAATAAAAGTAATATTTGTACTTTTAAAAATCCACACTACGATGAATATTGTTTAGAAAGTAAAATAAGTTAAAGTCCCAACTTCAAGCAATACCACTCCTTAGGGGTTATCATTGTGAATTGTTTGTGTATATCCTCCCAGAACTTTTCCTATAAACATAAAATTTAATGTATGTATATAATGTATTTACATCTATATTCATGTATATAATGCATTCATATACTAACTGACACATGTATGTTTTATAGATAAGTTGATTTTTTACATAACTTGGAGTAATTCTTTTATTATACTCAGAAGCATATGACAAATATTGAGTTCAGTCCTTATTGATCAGTTTTATTATTTTTAAGAGCTATAGAATATTCCATAGTTTTTAGCTATGCCATTATTGATAAGCACTTAGAATACTTGTACTTGTAAATTATTACCAAATATGCTGTTAACAATTATCAAATTATATATGTTTTTTAAAAAGTGTATTTAAAATTTTTATTGAACAGGTTGATATAGGTAGAATTGCTTAGTTAAGAATATTTTAATTTAATTGTGTAGGGTTCTGCCAAAGTGCTTTGCAAAACATTAGTACTGAGGTTGCAATCTTAGCAGCAACATAAAATGCTTATTTTTCACGACCTCCTTTAAATTGGCTATCTTTAGCAAATTCTATTTTTTGTCCGATATGAGAGATGAAAATCTATCCCTATCATTTTTATTTGCAAGTCTCTGATCAATTATAAACTTAAATATGGCATTAATTAGATTTACTTTTCTATAAACAACAGAAATGTACACTGACGTATCTAAAATAAAGTTTACTGGAAAATTATGAAGTTGCTCATAAAGTTAATGGAAAAATGAAGAACTGTTTCAGAAAAGACAGGGATCAAGACAATTTTAGGAAACAGAACAGCAGTAATAAAAGGACAATGGACCATGGGAATTATTGCTGAGAGGAATTGATTCTAACTGCTTTTGGTACACTTACTCTCTGTTCAAGATTCAAACCCCAAAGAGAAGCATATTTATTGGTCTCGTTTCCCATGCTAGGACCCTAGCTAGTTTGCAAATGGGACATCTCGACTGACCGTCTCGTCAAGATTGAATCCAAATAGTTTATTTCCTCAAAGGCAAATGAGGATGCTATAACCTGGGAATGAAAGATGAATTCTTGGTGGGAATAAACAATAAGAGTTCACCACATTCCAGTCACTGGGCTGTCCATTATCCCTTCTTTTCTAAACATGTAAATTGAAAACAATTATATCAGTCAACATATTGCTTCTACTAAATAAATAACGAAAAACATACTCTTATACTCCTAAAATGGAAACAAACCAAGCTCTCATATACTTACTATAGTCGGCTTCAAACAAGTTCTGGTTCTTTCGAAATATCTCTGGAGATGACTATTGTCTCCACTCTTTTCATCAATTTAGTCAAAAATAAGGAAATATAAGGATAAAATTTTAAAAGATAACTAATTAAACATTATTTTTAATAATATAAAGAATGAAAACATGTCAAGTCTATAGTCCTGGTTTTGCAAATGATTGAAAATTATAGCTGAAATACAAAACATTTTTCCTGCCTATATGTCAGCTCTGCAGAAATTTTTATGCAGCACAGTGACCTAAGTATTTTTACCTGCTAAATCTGAGACTTTGGTAATCTTGTTTTTACAGGGCAAATTAGTCTCTCACATACCTGTACTGATAGGCATGGCAGTATATGACAGTATTAGAGCTATCTATCAAATATGTCCGGATATTTTCCCAGACCTTGATTTTATTGTTTTTCTTTAACTATAAGTATTGAGAAGCCATAATGATTTATTTCATAATAAACTAGTCAGAAGGTAGATTATTCACATTTTTTTCCTTGTTACAGTAACCAGCAGTATACTAGAAATGACTCTTTTGTTAGCTTGGATATTAAAGTGGAAACAGGGAGAGAGAGCCCTTCCTCACCCCTGCTTACCCATGATTCCCATAGAATGAGTGATAAGCCTCTTAAGTAATGCCACTAAGATTTGCAGTTGTTTGTTACTGTATGTAACAAACAGTAACATACAGCCTTTAATGATTAACCAATGATAGAAGTAGAGATCCTATTAATGCTTCCTATTTCCATTGTATAACAGCAAATCTATTTCTCGCTGGGAATCAAAGTCAATTATAAGTTAACATCATATCTTTCTTTTCGTGTTTGTCTTGTGGTATGAAGAGCCTCAAAATGTCTAGGTGTCAGTTTCAGCTTCTAATTCAATGAAAACTTTATTGTCTCATATGGTAGCATTTTTTGCTTTGGGGTTAAAACATCTAAACCATTAAAAAAAAGAAAGTACAAATTGGTAGTTACAAAATAGACATGGAATGTAAGGTACAACATAAGGAATATAGTCAATAATATAACTATGTATGGTGCTGAGTGGGTACTAGACTAATCAAGGTTATCATTTCATAAGTTACATAAATGTCTAGTCATTACACTGTACACCTAAAACTAATATAAAATAATATTAGATCTCAACTATAATTGAAAAATAAAAACATTGTTAAATAAATAAATAAATAAATAAATACACTATATGATTTCAAAACCAAGGGGATGGAAAGCAAATTTTTGAAAGTAGGTGTATTAGTAAGTGATACAGAGAGAGATTTAGTATAAGGATTTTGCATGTTAATGGAGGCTGACAAGTTCAAAAATCTATAGAATCGATGTTCCAGTTTGAATCTAAAGGCTGATAAGCTGTTGTAAAATTAGGAAGAGCCATTGTCTCAGTTTGAAGGCTATCAGGCTGGAGGATTCTCTTTCTGGAGTAGGGTTAGAATTTTGTATTATTTCGAACTTCAACTGATTAGACGAGGCTCACCCACATTATGGCGGGAGGGCAATCTGCTTTAAAGTCTATCAATTTAAATGTTACTCTCATCCAAAAACACCTTCACTGAAGCACCCAGAATAATGTTTGATTACTATCTGGACATTCCATGGCCCAACCAACTTGACACATAAAATTAACCATCACAGAGGGTCTTAAGTGTAATTGTAAGTTTCTTTACCCAAGCTTTACCTCGTGGTCCCAGAACCATCTTTTTTGACATAGGTAAAGAGCATCTTATAGTTCAGAGCACGCACAACACCGTATAAGTGTTCCCCACTTATTCAAGAGACCAAGTCTTCAACAGGCTATGTCAATATTCTATTAACTAACTACTTCTCCCTGATAAAATATACAAGAAGGCCTTTTAAGTCCCACAGGAATCAGCTTACTGCCTTTATTTTCCTCTATAAAATAAATTTTTTGATGGGAG